CAAAAAGGCATTTAGAAACACTTTATGACGACTAAAATCATCCTTTAGAGCACATTAAATAAAACAAGTTATTTTATCTAATAGCGTGCAATGATTGTGAGATTATAAACGCTTAATCTAATGTTGAGCGATGATTGTAAGCTCAAGTGGGGGCTAAGGATACGAGGTATGTTGAGGTGGTTGCTCTACAAGTAGATTCGGATATTTCGATTAAATCGTGTATGCATTGGTTCGTAGAAATAAATGTATGCCATTGTACTTACTCATATCGTTCACAACAACAGCATACTTGCTGACTCAATGTCTTCACCTAATCAGTATTTACCATGAATAAGAAGGATATAGGAGGGATTATTAACCATAATACCCGGAGTGGGCAGCAAATTGAAGAACATCGGCTGTGAAGGATTTCAGAATATTATTTGTACATATCCCTTTCAAGATTTGATATCAAAAGTGGAGATAAGCAATCGTGAAGTCAAGTGAAGATGTCAGTACTGTGAAATCAAGATGTTCTGTTTAATCCTGATGTTCCACTTTGAAACCATGAAGATATTTTATCTCACTTAGACTTTTGCACTTCTAAGTTGATGTACGTGTCAACTTGTATTCATCTCAGTACACTATTTATCAATATTAGCGTAAGATTTTACTTCATCAGACTTTGTCCTGTTTTTCACAAACTGATGAACTAAATTTTCGTCATCCTTACTTGATAAACAAATACGTGTGTTTTAAACACTATGCTTAGTCTTCCCCTATACAGTTTTATAAAAATCTGGTCAAAGTTTCCAATTTGTTAAAGAATGAATGTACTCTTATTGTTTCTAGTAATTATGACAAATGAGTACAAAGGTGACATGTGGTGCATAGTGATAATCAAAGATCGAAATTATGACTCGAACAGAATCGAAGTATATTGGTTTTATACAAATCTAACCCTAGCTCATCATAGTCTTTTGTGTGATCTTACTTAATGTGTGCGTGTGGTACTAGTCGTAGAATACCTTGGTGGATATTTGTAATCTGTCGGTCTATATTATTCTAAGTGAAACTGAAACGTGCTCAAAATGCCATACAGTGAATAACATTGTGTCATTATTCAACAGCGAATCAACACCCATATAGTAAAATGCGATCACCTACTAACCCGGTCCGACTGTTCTACTTTGTTTTGAACTCTCAATAACAGGGGCTTGTTCACCGTGTTCGTGTCATCCTTTCTGACTCCGCATTCGATATATGTTGACCACGGGAATTCGATGTGGTATACACAGTTATGCTCCGCGATTGTACAGTGGTGAGTATCTCCGCCTGTCACATGGAGAGCCTGGGTTTGATTCCCGAGTGAGAAGCCAGCTTTCCGTCGGTGGCACAGCGATATAGTGCTCACCGACCAGGCAGGTGATTCGAGGTGATCCCTGGCTACAGACGAACTCCTTTGCCTCATTAAGCCAGTAAGAGAGACTGGTAAAGAGGAAAGGTTGAGCAAGAGGCGGCTAGCAAACCAACCCTGTAAAAATAATGACCACTGGTACAGAAACTTCAAGACTCTAGCTTGAAGCCCTGTGTTCCAGTGAGAACGTGAATGAATAAAAATTCATATTAACATGACGCGCTCAAATCTCAGTCTTAGTTTAGTTGTGCCATGATGTTTCTAATCTTCAGACTATTAAAGGGTGAATTTAGACAAACGGATTATGAATGTTTGTTAATCGTAGGCAGCGAAACTATGCCTGTTAAGAATAAATCGGTTTAGTGTTCACACTACTGTCTGTCTGTCTGTTTCCGATATAGGACCTTGCATCGATGTGCATCATTTCAAGTCGCTGCACTCCATGTAGCACATAAACCAACAGAAAAGAGTAGAAGAAATGCACAACAGAGACAGTAGACAGGGATATGAGACAAAAGGAATAGTAATATCGAACGACAATATAGTTTCATTGGAAATTATTAGTCACAAGGAGTGGATGCATCTGCGGCAGCTACTGACAACGATTTCGAGCCATATCACAAATTGTCTCCAGCCTTCATTGGTTTTTACCGTCCCGACGACTTCAACCAGTCAGATAAGAAGTCTGCACCCTCCCACGTAGGTGGCTGGCTTAAACGAAGTGTTGTGGATTTCATTGACTGATGAAGCACAGCGGTAGAATGCCCGTGATTCGGGGTTTGATCCCCAGGCCGACTCACTGCTTTACCTCACTAAGCCATTAATAACAACAGTAAACAGTGAAGGTTGGGCATGAGGTGGCTAGCAAACGCATCCTGTAAAAATAAACACCACAGCTACCGAAACTTCAAGACTCTAGCTTGAAACCCTATGTTCCACTGGGGACGTAAAGGAATAGAAAAATATACTTAGATACAATTATTATCTCATTCAACATAATAATGACGAAGAGGGACATTGAAGGTGCTATTATTTTCAACCTGAAATAAAAGTATAAAGGTGTGAATATGGATAACGAGAAGCTTAGAAACAAAATTACGCAGGCGGAGAAAATAGTTGCGTTCTATGTAAAATAGGTTTTTAACGAATACAGCTGTGAACGGGATGAGCATGGAAACAAGCCCAGATAATAGTGAAGAACAAACGTCTGCATATAACCACTTCATTGAGCAGTAATATTCAAATGTTTGACATGCCCTTCACTCCCGTCAAATGTAAGATGATGCTACATGACTAGACTGGACCACATTGACTCCTAACTTAAAGACATAGAGGAGGAGTGTAGTGGTAGGATGTGGTGATCACTTCACCTGTTTGGGAAGTTGCATCAGTCCCATTTGTTGAAGTAGGCTTTTGAATCTATTCTATCTTATTTCCTAGTCAAGGTACATGAAGTGAACATTGAAAATTAAGTCTAATTTAATTTTTTTAATTTTTGATTACGGCTTGATGCCACACCGTATTTTCAGTACATGTATGGAATTTTCAGCATGGATATCGGTAGCCCGAATTTTGCAGGCCGACCATAGATATCGGGTGTGCGTCGGCAGGGGATCGAACCTCGGACCATGTACATGGTCGGCGAGAGTCCTAACCACTGTTCCACCGACGCTCAAGGCATACTTATTGTATGGTGCCTTATGAAACCCAACTAGTTACCGAGATTGCATTACATTGAGGAGGGATTTGAATCCAGACCTATTGGCGGAATGTCGAGTGTGCAAGCCGATGAGTCACATGTCTAACTGACTTGAATATGTTGTTGTATGCTGCCCTATAGACATAATTATAAAACTTGGGCACTGTGGTAGAGTATAACTCCATTATAGATAAGATTTCATTTTGACAAATCACACAGTGTTGTTGTATTGCCAACAATTATACATCTCATCCAACAGTTGTACAAGAATGTTGCTTGCTAAGTAATCCACAACTGGAAACTCACGGAATCCTTCAAAGAAGTGAAGAGGGAATTAAGGCAAGGCTGGCTAGTTGCCTACTATCTCCAATGATTTTCCTGATTGCGATAGATTGGATAATGAACCAGACAGCGGCGGGAAGTCAGAAAACAAGCATAAAATAGGCCCACACAAAAACTTGGAGGATCTGGACTTCGCCGATGACTTTTGTCTGATTTCACACAAACTGGAAGATATGCAAGTGAATAGCAGCAAGTTGGCGATAGAAGCAGCATCAAAGATGGGTGAACACAGAGAAAACAGAAGTATGTAGTGAAGATTCCTGGCCAACAGCAACAGCAATAACAACAGACAACAATAAGCCAGCATAAATGGGAGAAATTTGAAAGAATCAACCTCCTTCACCTAACTACCTACCTACCTAACTGGGAAGCATCGTTTCAACTAGGCAGACAGAACTGATGAGAATATCAAAGTGAGGATCGGGAAAGCTACACAAGCTTTCATTTCTCTCAAGTCTGTGTGGAGGTCAACAGCAATCAGCATGAAAATGGAATTAAGATGCAGATTTTCAACTTCAATGCGAAGTCAGTCAGTGATTCTTACTATGCGGATCAGAGACTTGGCGCCGCATCACGGAGGCCACTTCGAACAAACTACGCACCTTCATTAACAGCCAGCTGCCTTCGTTCAGTAATACTCAAGATCAGATGGGGAAACAAACCATCGAGTGACATCACACGACAGGATATCGCTTGAGGGGAACCTGATTACGAAGCGGCTAGCTGGTCGTCAGTGAGAGGGTGTCATGGAGGAGGTGATGTGAAGAGAAGATGAAAGCAATGTGGGCAGGCGTGGAGCCAGGTGAAAACTTTGGCAGAGAACTGAACGCAATGGAGACGTGCGACTGAAGCCCTATGTTCTTCTAGGAACTAAAGGAAACAATAAATAATAACACAGTGTTGTACAGTAATATTACTGTATGTCATATTTACGAAACCTCAGGAATATAAGCCATAAATACAGTAATCTGATTGGTTGTCTGATTTCAGAAAATTCAGCCACAAATAAACGAATCAAAACTATCCAATAAGATTATCACAGCTACCAAAGAAGCTTGTTCGTCTTGACACCTCTCTGTTATATTAGTTCCCGACGAGAGGAACAACTGGAAGGTACTTTGTAGATTTTTCTACTCTCCGTCTATGATAAGAAGGCAACAAATCACACACGCGCCTTTTTAACTCAGTTGTGAATAAATAACTAATACATCTGTTTTCAATGCATAGTTTCATTACAAGAACTAGCTACGTGAAATCATTGTGAGTAGTTCATACCATTGGAAGATTAAGCGGCAAGATGACCAGTCGGTTCTTCTTCTCCTTAAAGCTTACTGAATTCTGTCATCAGTCAGTATTGCAGTGTCAGTGGTCACTAAGCTATCGTAGTGCACTGTTTGAAAATAATGTTAGCTAATTTGAAGGCAAAGTCGACTGAATCCCTTGGGGATCTAGCTAGATAGACTGAGTCCCAATCGGAACATGCCAACATTCGATCAGTTTACCTGACAGTTCAACTCTCTTTTCATAATTAATTATTGCTCATATTATCATTATTCTTTCTAGGTTTTAGACGATGAAATCCCATTGGAATTAAAAGATCTCTTCAATGCAATATCTCCAACTTCGTCGTCTTCAGCAGCAGCCGGTGAATCAGGAGAAATATCCAGTGAATTAAAATGTCGACAAAAACGCATCCTTCAACTGTTCACCGCAAATCATATCAAAGGTGTAACTGTCAATGCTAGAAATGAAATAATTATTCATAATATTGTCTGCATTAAACCACCATATCATGTGAACTGTTGTCTGGGTAAAAATGTGATGGCACTGGAACGTATAAGAAATTTATTAAGTAAACTAGATGAGAAGGCGACAGTGGGAGAAGAAGAAGCGGAGGAGGATGGTGGAAGAGTAGTGAATGGCGAAGGAGTATTTGATGGTGGAAGAGTAGTGAATGGTGAAAGGGTAGTGGAAAGCAAATAATTGTCATCGATACTGAATTGAAATGCATTTGTATAAAATCAACTTCTTGTGTATTATTTATTGTGTATAGAGTTTCTATTAAATATATTTGTATTATTTTATTTCTGATGACTTCCGTGTATGATATCCTTAGTGGTTGTGTTCTTCAGTTTCTCGTCGGTGAACTTCAAGTAGTGTCTATCTACAGCATCGATCTTCTCGATTATGTCTTGAATAAGCCACGTTTCCACATTATTCACACTGAGATGAAGTCTGTTTGGATATTAGTGTGCACATTTGTAGAAAATCACATCACCACGGGATGGCCTTGTACTTGTACACGCTGACGATAATCACCAGTGGATTAAATACCTGGATATCTTGCAAGCAATTCTTTTCAGTCTAAGTCATTTTTCACCGATCGCTTTTCGAAGCATAATGAGTTCTCTCTGAGTGTCACCTACTCTCATTTTGGCATCCCTAATAGCAAGTAAGAAGTCTGGTATTGCTGTGTGGTTGGTGTCTTGTCCATTACTCCTGACAATATCATCCATAGATGTCCTCCTTATCCTCGTTGTCGGCAAAGTGCAAGAATTGGAGACGATGTTTTTGTGTAAGGAATGTTTTGTCTGAGTCACCTGCTTTGGCGCATCGCTATGAGATTAAGATGACAGACGTAGCAGTTGGGTGTGTGTGTGTGTAATGATTACTGGAATATTTTCAAACAGATACACACCAGCTTGGGGTAGCACTACTGTGTTCGGAATCTTTTCCATTAGGCTAAAATGTTGAGATTTGTAGTTCTCTTCAAAAGAGATTTATGGATTGATGGCAAAAAACGACAGTTTGTTCGAGACATATTACAATCTCGTGAATACGAAGCTTCACGATAAGTTGAGAGCTCTTGGTCTGGTTGATTATATGCAGAGAGATTCTATGTGAGGGCGAAGTCGTCTTAACAGCCTCTTCAACTAAAAACTGAGGCAAGTGTTTTTAGGGGGTCAAATAATTTTGTAAAATTCAATTAAGATTCAGACACTTCACTTGCAAAGATCAATGTGTTTATTTGTACTGCTCGAAAGTCGATGAAGAAACATTGAGGATAATTATTGGATTTCCAATCATAAAAGACTAGATGAAGGGTATAATTGGATGACTAGTCGTGGTATAATCACAAGCTTAATTTTACCAATCAGAGGACGCACATGTTGCTTACCGGTGTGTAGGTGTCACTCTGGTATTCTAGTGTAGATCAATCACAAATCTTTTGGCTGGTTGATTTCCCTTTGTTGATATCAACACTGATCAACTGATTATGGACTTTATCGACTTTGGAGAGTATGGTTACTGCGCTTTACTGCATTCTTTCAAGTCTATAGTTAAATAAATGCATTCTTGAACAACCTTAAGTATTATATTTTCCTTTCTGTAGCTGGGTTGGTGTTAGGAGCAGTCTAGCTGCTATGCTCAAGTTTTGCTACTGTAATCTGAGGTGTGTCTGTTGGTCGATATGTAAAATCACCAGGTGAACAGAAGATCATCTTAGGTGGTTGGTGAGTATTTGACCTCAATGTGTTCACGGTATGTACAAGTTTGATGGAATTAACTGTTGGTCGAAAAGCATGAGCCATTAAGATGTTGTATTACCGAAGCATTTTTTTAACCACTGGTAGATCGAATGAAGATGTCAAAGCCAGTCAGAATCGGAAAGGCCAGAGACACATTCATCAATCTGAAATCAGATTGGTAGTCTTCTGCTCTCACTCAGCATAAAGAACAAGATTCGGATTTTCAACACCAATGTCAAATCAGTTCTCCTGTATAGGCCAGAAACTTGGTGTATCACGAAAAGCACTTCCGACGGGTTGTAGAGTTTTATCGATAACTACCTTCGCTGACTCCATATTGAATATCAAATGGCCAGCCGGCCAGAAAGATTTAGCAACACCAAACTCTGGCTGAGAGAAAACCAACCAAGAGGCGATTGGTGAACAGATGTGTAGGAGAGAAAGGAGATCGATTGTGCACATGTTGAGGAAGACGCTGAATGACATCGCGCGTCAGGGCATCGCTTGAGTGAAATCCCAATAGAAAGTGACAAGTGAGTCTTCCAAGGGTAACATAGCGGTGATCGTGTGGAGAGGAGGAGATGATAAATCATGGGCAATCGTGTTGCTAGCCAGCTGAAGAGTAGAGCAGAAAATAGAAGAAAGTGGAGATGTATTGTTGAAGACCTACGCTGCACTCAGAACCCAGGGGAACCATAATAAAATAGTAATGATTATCGAAGTAACTTCAACTAAAATGAATAAAGTGTAAACAGATAAAGAAATAAATATAGTTTGTTATTTCTTTAGATGTTTCTTGAGAACTAGAGACCCATTGGATGTAGTTGGTTGAAAAGTTATCTGAGATTCCTCAGTCGAATTTTTCACAACCGAAGATTGTGTGTAATCTTAAGTAATGGAATATATTCGACACATCATATCGATATTTGAACTTTGCGCTAAACGTACCGATATTGCAATAGAATAGTAAGAAGGGATTCACGCTGGAATACAGCAGCTATGACGTATCTGTGATATCAAATATGCATATCTTTCGTATATGGAAGGCCTCCATCGTCTTACTTTCTATTAGTTACAGATATTATTCCAATCCTCCAGCTAGGAAACGCCTCAGAACACTTCACCTCTTTATATTGTAACGACAGAAGACAAGAGTCAGGCAACAGATCATTTATTAAGGAAATCACGCATATTTATATATGTTTTCATGTACATTACTATGGATATGTAAACAAACAAACACAGTCTTCTGATTGGTTGTTTCTCACGACAAATCTTGGGAACGTAAATATTGACGTAAATTACTGTCTACCAATTTGGCTAGTAGACAGCTCTCACCACAATATTACAATGCCTATACGATTTCTGGTCTAATTAGAGAAATGAAAACAAACTGCATTGCTTTTTTTCGCCACACGTAAAGTGGTGATGTGTATTGAAGTTGACTATCAGATACTTGGAGGCAATCAGCCACAGGAAGCCTTGGACCACCTAGGTTTCTTGCTGGTTGGCACTCATCAGCAAGGCGTATCCGCAGCTTCGAGCGAACTCTCGTCACCCAGTTCTGACTGCAGTCAGAGACGTTACCACTGAGCTATTCGAATGGGCAGCAATAATTGAGCCATCATTGCGAGGAGGATATGGCGGAGGTCATGTGAAGAGGAGATGAAAGCATGTGGCAGACATGGAATTAGGTGAAAACGTAGGAGGAGAACTGGACGCAGTTGAGACGTTTGGCTTAAGTCTTATGTTCCTTTAGGGTCTAAAGCAAACAATAATAATAATAACACTTAACAGTGGTCTACAACTCTACTTTCAGAGAACCATTAATTTTTATACCTCCATGCCTTTATTTCTATAAAAATATTAAATCAATGTTCTTTCATTAACTCGAATTTTAATTCTGATATTTCATACTGTTATCAAGCTCATTGATAAGTCTCACAAAAGTGTGTCTGAGAATGTCTCACTTTGCATAGTATATTCTCATTGGCTAATTCATATCACCTTCATGAAGAAGAATAACGAGAGCGTTTTACAAAGCCTACAACTAGATCGCATGCAGACATGTACACGAAAACACACATAACAAGACGTATATATAAATACTCTTTAAAACAATCTTCACACCATACTAGCTGTAGAATGAACATCATGTCGATTATCTATTTGTTCAGCTTCATATTACTCACATTTTCTTATTCCACTGTGAATTCATTAGTCCCGAAACCGACTAAATACCAACGGATGGAAATACCTGCCGCCTAAAAGAAGATTTACCAATTGAACATGAATATTCACATTGTTTGATACTTAACGATGCAGTGGAAGAGTTCAGCAAACGTCTTAAGGCGAAAACATCACAACACCTGCATAATAAAGAAACTTCCTGCAGTATTAACAAACTGACAATTTCCATCACTGTTGAATGTGACGAATCATATGGTGATTTGTGGCCAAGCGAGAAGATGAATGAATCATGTAGGTTCACAACTTTCACACATAACTAACTCATTAATGAAGACAAAATTATCATATCGAATGCGAAGATTGAAATCAAATCTACTGAAGTATGGGGAACATTACATGCACTACAGACTGTCTTACAATTGGCGCACAGAAATGCATTAGGGACTGTGAGTCAATGACCTCATGAATATTCATGTATTGTCAACCTATTTTATCTAGTTAGTAATAAACGAATCTACAATCGAAGATTCACCCCAGTTCACTCACAGAGGATTTGTAGTTAACACTGCTGCTCATTTCATCAGTGTTGATGTGATGGAGAATTTTCTTGTAAGTCTGCCTTCCATATTGTCTCTCTCTCATTTAACTTCACAATCACTCAGGATGCTATGGCCTTAGTGAAAATGAATGTATTTCATTGGCACATCACAGATGATAGTTCATTCCCGTACGAATCATCCACAGATCCTCAACTCTCTCAAATGGTATTTTCTTTTGTTGCGTTTCACCTCATCATTATTCGTTCTACATAGGGTGCTTATCATCCAGTAGAGTTAGTCTATGGAAAAGTGCAAGTTGAGCATTTACTGAAGTATGCTCGTTTACGTGGAATACGTGTGGTGGTGGAATTCGATACTCCGAGTAAGTGAACAACATGCCATTCTGTGTTGTGTCATGTCATCTACCATCTTTGAAATTCTATCCTCATATTCAGTGATCCATGTTATTAGCAATCTCTTTTTTGTTTATTAATCTCTAAATGGGGCAATTTCTTTCATTCATTCATTCATCTCACTTCATTTTAAATATTTCTCACTTATGTCATTTGGAATTACATGTGTTGAGTAGAAATGTTTGACTCATCCTCTG